TTCAATATATATAAACCTACATCTTAGTGTAAATATCTTATTTTATAGACAGAGAGCTGTAATCTCGTTCTCGTTTTGTACTGATTTGTGATGTACTAAGCTGGGTTGTTGAATAAACTCTTTTGCCAACACACTTGCAATCTGTTTAGTGATTTGAGCGCCTTGCCGCCGGTTACACCATGTGTAGCTATTACTGACGTTTCGGACATTAGTTTTTCATTGGAGTTATTTTAATTAAAAAGCTTATTATTTTTGTTTACATGTATCTTTATCAAAATTATTAAAACATTCTACCAGTAAATCATGGAACATATTACTATAAACACAGACAACACACACACACAGATAAAGGCAAAGCTTGGCTTTTCACAAACATAAGCAACACATGCAGCCAACTTCAACAGGAATAATCCATTTAGCAAGTGAGGTATTCAGAATACATACTTGCTTTTTAGCACCAGTTTTCTTTCCCCATATCTAATAGAGAAGTCAGCCTTTGTTTTTTGTACAAAGTAAAATCCCAGTTATAAGTCTACTATTCTGCTAATGGAAATATCCTAGCAGCTATATATAAGTCCCCCCCTCCCTGCTCTCCATTGTGAGCCCACCTGGAACCTCTTCCTTTTTTCACTGGTGCAACATAAGACAGTGATTGGAAACATAAAACAAAAAAAAACCTTTCCTCCTTATTCCAAACTCTTTCCCCCTCCTGATTATAAGCCCATCAAAAGTCCCTTACATACCAATGCAGATTATAAACCCAGGGCTTATAACCAGGATTTTACATTATGCTATTTTACAAGTGAAACCTAACATTTCACAAACATTTTAACTAAAAATTAAATATGGGAGCCATGAAATAACAATGTAGTGGTCTGCTGTCTTTTTTTGATAAGGTATATATTATAACAATAATTTCTTATAATTTTCAATAGACATCAATATTTCCGCTGAAGGCAGTTTAATAACATTTAAGGTTCAATAATCTTTCTTCTAATTAGCCATGTTGGATATTTCTGGCCCCTTAGATGGGCCTTTGTGAAAGTTAAAATTCATGTTGTATTGGTTTAGCTGCAATAGGATTATTTGCTATTATTAGCTGCCATATTATGTAACTGGTCCATTGAGGTGGTATTACACTAGGTAAAGTTCCTTTCCTTGCAACTTGTCTCGTAATTTTGTCATGCTATTTAAACCAGTGTATTGCAGTTGCTTGCATCAACAGGGATGTACAGGTAATGATCTGAGACAAATAATTGATGCACAATGAAATGTTTATGGCTGTACAACAAATCATTGCGAAACATGTTGCAGGAAGGGTGTTACCCTTCACATTAATGCCTTAGAATTGTTGCACAGTATTATTGTTTCAAAAAGCAAGACTAAACTCTAAGAACTAACGTTTTTTGAAATAGCGAACATGGTGCATTGTGGGGAGTAGCTTCAGTACAAACATCTCATGTTCATCATGCCTTATGAAGCTAGACCACAATGCATCCTGTTTATTGAACTAAGGAAAGGCCTATACTGTACCAAAATTGCAAGACAAAGTTTTGACATTACACTACCAGATCAATTTGTCACGCAACTTGTTTTACAAAGAAATATCAAAAGAAGTTGCATGGAACATAAGAACCTTGTGTAAGACCACCTTTATCCTATGATGGCATACTGTACAAAATTTAGAGAATTATTATGTATAATTTTCACATCTTAGAATTAATCTGCATGCTTTAGCAGACAAGTCAAGGTAACTTCTGATGACAGCTCAATGTTGAATTAATAACATAAATTAATAAATCGATAACTGTCTATCAGAAGTCCACCTGAGGTATTTCAAAAAGTGAATAGCATATTCAAACATGCATGCAAGGTTGTCAAAATGGAAATAGCTTCTACTGTAGTTGATATACTCCATGGAAATATATTTTCTTACATTAAAATCAAAATTAATTTATTTAGTACTAACTAAAATAAATCTTATGGATAATTATTTCTAGCTACATTTTGTAGTATTGATCTAGAAAATGCCTCTAGCATTTGCCCATGTTTTAAAATATTCCATTTTGCCTTGTGGGTAAGATGCAGTATGGATATTTGTTGGGAATAAAAATTCTAAAGACATTGACGCACAATGCAACATTGCATGTAAGGTTGTATTCCAAATTTTCAGGAAACTGAAAAAAGTATAAAAAGTTATAACTTTTCAGAAGATGTTGCCAGTGCTTTAAGCATTCCATTCATTCCTGTAGATAAGATAATTTTCAGAAGATGTTGCCAGTGTTTTAAGCTTTCCATCCATTCTTGAAGATACATTGCAAAAGGTTATGCTTGCGATGGGAAATTTTGCAATGTGTCTCGACCCTCCTTGAAATTGCACACAAAATTCCAGGGATCTTGCAAGCAACATTACATGCAAAGTTGCAGTGTGACAGAAGTTTTGTCTTGCTTGTCACACACAAAAGTTTCAATGTGAGGCTTCCCACATCCTTGTACTGAAACCTTTGTGTGTGACAAGCAAAGCATATCTCGTGGGCTTGTTCTTTTAAAGATACTACTGTGAGTTCTTAGAATATGCTGGACAAAGCACTGTTAGCAATACGATGTGAATTTTGCTGCATATCTAAGTACTTATCCTCTTCTACCAATGAGTTCAGTAGAGTGTTCATGTCATTAACTACCATATTGCTATTACCCAGACCAAATGGGTTTATTTCATTGCCGTTTCCATCAGTTGAAAGGGCTTCCATACTGTTTAACATGGCTTCATAGCTGCCAACCTCTTGGGGTCTGCTTTGCTCACCGTAGTAATCTACCATCCCAGGAACTCTCTGTTGATACTCAGTAATCATTTGCCCCTGAGGAACTGATTGAAGTCTTGACTGCCTTTGGTAGTATTGATTCTGTGGTCTGGCATATTGTAAATTGAATCTCTGTTGTGGTATTCTGTTTGGAGGAGGATAAGGTGGTCTTGCAGCGGGTTGGCTTGGTCGGTAGTGGATTGTCTGGGACTCAATGGGTAGCTGTTGCTCAGGGTAAGCTTCCTCAGATGGGTAAGGATAATGTCGAAGAGGTTGTGTCTGTCTTGACTGCGCCTGGTCTGGACTGAGATAAGCATCAAATTCATTGGGATCAACATCTTCATTTATAAGTTCCGTTTCACGAGGCTCTGCTTCATTTGTTGTGCTATTGGAAGACAGTTGTATCATTGGCTCTGGCCTTGAATTCCACCTCATATGCTGTGCGGGTTCACTGCGCCGACGATACTCTTCTTTTTCACCACCCTGTTGTAGCGACATCTCTGAGCTATCTGCTTCACAAATGACAGTATCACTCAATCGCCTAAATGTCCTATCTATTCCATTAGGTCTAAAAGGCTCTTTGGAAAACTGATAAGGAATCCTGTGAAACATTGGACTTCTTATGATGGCCAAGTTTGATTGACTACCATATCCACTACTATTACGACTCAGTCTATTACATGCAAAGCTCTGGGAACTTGCATTGCTTGTTTCACTGGCCCTGCGTAAAACAGCTTCACTATCGCTTAGAGGTGCTAACAATGTTTTCTTCCATGGTATAGATCCTTGCTGATTCTTAGGTCCTGGGGGAACTTGAACATTTGGCGGGTGTGGAACTACTTGTGGATTGAGACTTGCTTGACTTGATCTCCTGCTTTCATTGTTAGATGCCCAGCCACTTTCACTTGATCGTCTGCTTACATCACCATTCATCTCTGAAATGTGGCTAGTTTCACTGGATCTCCTTGTTGATGTTTGACTCATACGCCGATGCACATCACTCACCCAACTAGCAACATCCTTATTCCTGTTGTGGATCTTTGGCAGGGTAATTGTTTCTGATTGTCTTTGGCTTACTACTTGTTGTACAGTTGTTACTGCACAACCATCGGTTACTGGTTCATAGTCACCTTCCACAATGTCAGGCAACTGTTTGACGTATGGTGGGCTCCTAGGTGATAGTCCAGATGTAGTAACTTGACCAACACCTAAAGACGTTTCATGGCTTCCTGGTATGTCAACTGCTGGAGAACGATCATCACATGTAGAAGACACAACATCTGCATCCCAACCAATACTGACTACGCTAGATGAGTATCCACCTCCTTTCTTTACTGTACCACTTTCGCTACCACTACCTGGGGACTTGACATCACTGGATGGCGACTGCACTGCAGCGTTGCTGGTATTAGTGTTTGAAATGGACTGATTTGATTGGTTGCTGGAAGAGGTTTTCTTGGTAGAGCTCTGTGTGTTGTCTTTGCCTCCGTCTGAGTTCAGCTTGTGCTGTAAAAGAGGACATTTATTAGCTTTTGTTGTGAGCTCACGATCATTACCAAGAGCACTGCCACCAGAGCAGACCAATTTGCTCAGCCTTTTTTCAGGGGGAGGACATTTTTGAATCAGAATCAATCAGGGGTGACTGAGAATGAATTCAGTACAAAGTGGAGGCCTTGACGTACATTATTCATTCATTCAACCCTTGATATTCTTATCTTAAAACATGAAACTAAAGTGTCCTTATTTTTCCCTGCACTCAGACACTTTATTTATTAGCTTTTCCCATGAGAGCAGGGACACCACAACAGCTTTTTGCCAATTACAGTGGGCCCTGTAGAGTTTAGCACGGGCAATGAAATTAGTCTTCAGTGGGTCTTTTACGTCCACCTTATACGGGGTTATTTAGTACAAGACAGACAAGGCCTATGGTTTTAAGTCCTTGACCGGGAGGACTTGAAGGTCTAACTATTTGCAGGTATAATCACAAAGGCAGCACCTTCTCCTCAGTTATTTTAAGACCCTGAGTGTTGGTCTGGCCAAGGCTTTAACCACAACCTTCTGCACATTAGACTGATGCTCTTACCAACTGAGCTAACCAGGTGGAGGCACTTTCAAAGGGACAGCCAATAACGACTTTTTGATGACAGAAAGCTTTGTTTGCTTAAATGGAATCTCAAGTGACTCTTTAAAAAGTCTGTTGACACACCCAGAAAGCGGTATTCATCAAATACATACTCACCCTTTTCACTCCTTGATCTCCATGGACTGTCTTGGTATGTTTTCTCAGCGAGCTTGGATCTGTGTATCTTTTGGGACAGCCTGGTACTTTGCACACATAAGGTTTCTAGGTAGGAGTAACGCAATCACACATCAGCACATGAGGCTGCAATAAACATGGTCATAACATATTACCTACCACAGATGAGTGTGTCCTGTTTTGATGTTTAGCTCTGTCTGAAGCATTTGAAAATGCCTTAGTACATCCCTCTACCTCGCAGACATATGGGCGTTCACCTGTATGGGATCTTAGATGTGTCTTGAGGTTTTCTAGTCTGGAGTAGGCTTTGGTGCAACCTTCATACTGAAAGTTCAAGATGACCAATAAGTCATTTTATAAGAAATATAATTATATGAGTTAAATCTCACATACTTGTGCACAGGTACACACTTAAGCTTGCATTGGTTTCGATTAGGAAGTGTGATAAACCAGAAGCTAGTATTCAAACAGACTGTGGAACAGATGTTTTTCTAGAGGGGGGTGTGTGTGTGTGTGGGGGAGGCGAGTGGGGAGTGTGATTTTTAAGTCAGAGACCAATATTCAAACAAGGCCTGTGGAACAAATGTTTTTGGGGATGGGGGGGGGGGGGGAGTCAAACTGAACAAGGGGGTAAAGTAAGCTGTTACAAACCACTCCATGGTCATTGATATTTACAAGAATTTTTGAAATTAAGGGTGGGGCATGGAGGATTAATGTGATAATAAGGCACTACCCCTTTATACAGAAGTAACTTAATATCAACAACCCACTGTGACTCATCTCATGATATGAGATGAGTCACAGTGGGTTGTACATATTAAGAATCAACCTGCTTAACAGGTATATACCCAAATACAGACACCTGCTGTTCATAGTGTTTGACTGCATAACAGAATACGTACCTTGCAAACATGAGGCTTCTCTCCTGTGTGCCTTCTCATATGCACTACTAACATATACTGGGCTTTAAATGGCTTCTGTTCTCGGCAACAGTCTTGCCAGTAACAAGTGTATTCACGTTTCTCCTTCTTAATATGGTCACAATTGACATGTTTTACGAGGGCATCTTGGTTTTCAAATAAAATTGTGCAGTCTTTCCATCGACATGTCAAATTAGGTTCCTCTCCATCACCAGGGCCATCATCAGCTTCATTGTCAGAACCAGGCTGTTTAGATTAAATAATGCATTAAACTTGAGACAAAACGGATTTGTGACATCAACCTTAGCTCATGTATACAAAGAATGTCAATAAATCCACAAAAGAGAAGGATAAGAGGCTTATATAACTCATCTCTAGGATTGATAAATCAACATCCAACAACATATTGAGGCTATAAGAAAAATATACCAATTAATATATATTGATTAGCTAATAGATAGAGTATAATGAAACTATCAATAAAGGTTCAGTCAGGACAAGACACCTGGATAATTGATTACTGAGTAATCAAGAAGGCATGTAGACTTGTCAAGAAACCGCCATGCTAATTATCGACACCCCTCCTGTTATCCTTATAGGATATCACCAAGGTTTATATCATTTAACATGTGCAGAACACATCATGTTAAAAATAAAATAATAATATGATAACCAAAGACCTTTACTTAAAAACAAACTTATAGATATCTTATGTTACTGAGGTAGTTTTGTAGTGGTTTTGAAGATTCCTTTTCTATAGCATCTGTTGTTTGTCAGTCTTCTGTCATACATATTAATTTCTGTCACATTCCACAGAGCTAATTAGCTTTCCACAGTTATTCTTACTATTTGGCAAAAAATTGCATTAGCATTTTATTGCACAAAAATATTCCCGCATCACCATCAAGGTCATGTACGTAGTACATACACATACATCTATCTCATGAGTTTTTCTAAGTCTAGTTTTGATCTCACACAATGCAATTAATTCATTTACAAACAGTGCTAATGTCAAATACACATTAACATATTCCATAAATAAGTATAAAATAAATTGCTTACTGGACCATAGTTGTGGCTACGTGTGTTAAGACTTCAACAGGATGACTCACTATAACTTTTATACTTATATTCCTCCAAAAATATTCTACAACATTTTTTTATATTTCTGTTTTTTAGTTCATAGTATTTCTCTAATTCTCCTGCTTCCAAAAAGTTACATCCAAAATTACACTACAGTACTTTTTCTGTGATACACTAACTGTTAATAATACAAATATCCCCATTTGATGCAAGAAACAAGGTTCAAAAGTGCTCATTCTTGAACTAAATCCAATTAGATCTGCTGATTTATTGAACCTAGTTCTGATAATCAAATTCGCACAGCTTGAAATAAAAATATTATGCAAATTCTTTTACCTGTATTGAGCAATTGATTCAATTTACTATTTTTTTCACAATCAAATTAACAAAACATTCCGTTTTTCTGTAGTAAAATGTCATATATACTTCATGATAAATATGCAATAAAATAATTCCCATTTTATGTAATTAAATGTTATGCTTACATTAATGTGGTTTCTAGATCAGTTTTTAACAGGTGATAGACAAATTATTGGGTGTTAAAAATATCAATACAAGGATTAGAATATAGTATAAGAGGTATACTAGACAAATACTTTTCTCAAAATCCCAGTAATCTGCAGATTAAGATATTGAAGGCAGTTTTTATGTGGACTGTAAGTATTTGCATTTATGAGAACTGGATAGAAAATCAGTAAAATAAGTATATAATAAACAAAAATCTTAACTTACTAATTCTTCATTTTCAAAGAATGTTCTGTGTTATTGTAGGCATCTAAAGAAACCAGGCTTAAACAAGCTAACTAGCTTACAAGTAAGGAATTAAAGATTACCTTATCATATAGCTTTATATATAGAGAGAGATCAATCTTCCCCTCCATTACCTAGCTCGTGTGGACTTGTATGACAAAGCTATTCGATGTTTCTAAGCATAAATATAAAATATTATATGCTTTCTATGCGAGAGCTAAATTTCACTTGGTGCATACAGTAGTTTGTGATTATATGTCAAAATATTTGAAATAATATGACTAGGTTGAAACACGTAATGACTGTACTATCTACATCATGTTATATATGAACAATATTGACTTCTATTATTTTATATTTTTGTTGTTCAATAACAAAGTTAATTTCTTAACATAGTTATGTGAGAAGAGTCATTCCAGAACACGAATATAAGAGTCTGACATTAATACACACATGCCAGTCTCATCTTGAATTTGTAAGAAATCCAATTTGATAGTTTTGTTGTATTTATGAGATATTTTAGTAAAGGATTTTGTACATCTTGAAGATATTTTGAAATATAATGATATAGCACTTGTGCATTATTTTAGCTAGGGAGGTACATGTCTGGTGATAAAATGTTTCTAAGATAAGAATCAGTCACAAAACATTATGCAGAACTTAATGATTTGTTTCAACAGCTTTAAATAACCTTAAAACTCCATAAATATTTAATATCAACACTGTATAAATGACTTAATGACATTCCAAACAAACCTATGGTTTTAAAATAATATTTGTTTTATGCGTTCACTTCTACTAGTTGTTATCTAGGTCTAGATATTCATTTAATTGAGTCTTTAAGGCTGTAAATGACATATAATCAATAAAATCTTTGATCATTTGCCTAAAACAATAAGATCTGAACCTTTAGTGTACAAAAGATCCACAGTAATTTTACAAAGTTTCCTTATCTCTCAGAGACAGCATCCAAAATACCAGTGCCATAGATAAACTAAAACCACAGACACTAAAGTAAACTGCGTCAAAAGACAGTTCACTAAAGCATTATTTTTTATCTTGGATGAATTTTCTAGTAAAGTGTTTGTAGCTAGCTATGGGAAAGCCAGCCTGTAAGCCTGGAGTTTTTAAATGACATCACATTGATGATCATGGCCTTATGGTTTATCCTGTTATATATCTTGCTTAATTGAGATTACCACTTGACCACTCATTATTCCAGGAAGCCTTAGAATTATACCAACACATGTTTGAGATTGACTTGGCGGAATGTAAAACAGCAGAGCAACAAACATTAAACTGGTCTGGTGTTGTTATGTTGACAACAAAATAAGAGAAATTAGCAAGTAGCAATATTTTGGTCCAACCTTAAAATTGTCTCACAACTACCAAGTTTTGTTTATCAAGTGTTAACTGTACAAACATGTGTTACTTGCTTTTTGATTACGTATTGCTTTTATAAGACTTCCATATGTGGAGTAAGGATGTGCCATATTGTTTAAATATTGCCTGCACCGGCCCCTCCCCTAGATTTGCCCCTGCAGTCTTGCTAAACTGTTTGACTATAACAACATGATAAGCCCATTGATAGTTTGTTTACCAAAAAGCTGCAGTGATCTTCTATGTACAGTATGGCAGCAGAACATTACAAATAGCCTTCACTGTTACATCGATATGTGAAAAATAAATGGCACCTAAAAGTATATGTGGAAGAAAATATTGTCAGCTTATGGGTAATAACAAATAAGGTACTTACCGGAACTCCTGAAACACCCGGTGAAGTTGTTGAATCCAGCTTACAGGTTTCTGCAGCCTCTTCCTTCATGCGCGAGGAAGGAGCTTCTACAGGCTTGGATAAAGGAGGTGATTCCGTACAGTTCATGCTTTCTGCAATGGGTTCTTCCTTAGGGGTATCAGTTGTAGAGGATGGAAAGACATCTCTTGGTTGCTCCTGGTTCTTTGTGGCTTTTACTGGTTGTATTGGTGGTGGTGTTATAAAGGGAGGGGGTCTCATGGGGTGCATTGCCGAAGATTGGGTGCGATGACAAACTGAAGATGTACAAAAGCCCAAAGGACTTAGATGACCAAAAGATCCTGCTGAAGATATCCTTGACCCAGTCAAACATCCTAGCAAAGAATCTGGAGAGTTCCTGATCAACAAGTTTAAATCAATGGACTCAATTGATGATGGTGTATTGGAGCGTGCTCTCTTGCGTGTAAGATGAGCTGAAGCCCTAGGGCTAGAAATACTGGATCCAGGAACATCTAACACAGTGGATCTCAGTGACGTAGCAGTAGAAGGAGGTGCAACGAATTCTGCCTGAACATTCCTATGACCACTATGCATGGTTGCCAAATAATGCGAAGGAATGGTAGGTTTAGCAAACTGCTGATATGTTCTTGGCCATTCAGCCTTTGGACGAGCAATTTCTGTGTTCCGTTGGGGAGCACTGTCATTAAGATTTGATGGATAAAAGTTTCTACGAGGATACTCAGGCCTGAAAGGTCCCACATGGACAGATGAACCATGATTTGGTGGGTATACAACACCCGCTTCAGGATGGTGCCAATGAGGATTTCGTCCTGGGTAGTAAGGGTGTTGGGGAGGTGGTGGAGGGGGTGCAGGGTAACCAGACTCATATGGGTAATAATTCTCTGGATAACTTGGAGGTTGACAGGAATATCTGGCACCCCACGTTGGAACGCTACTGTAATTATTTGGGTTCCTGTCCATGATTGGGATGGATGGTTGAATTGAGGACGGTGGATGAGTCAGTACAGATCCATTTATGTCGAAGTTTGTTTGGGTTTCTTGGTCATGTCCTTCACCTTTTTTCTCTTCCATGGTGCTCTCGGAAATGTCGACAAGTCAACACCACTCTACAAGATGTCCTTCACCTTGTCTTTTCTTCTTGGCTCGATTTCAAATAACTGCCTGAACCTTGACACGTTTAAAACACGAGGAAAAGCAAAAAGGGTCAATAAACTATAGATTCTCTTTAATTCAATTCAAACCGTGTAATGTTTTAATATCCCAGTCCAAAGGTAAACATTGTAAGATAACATTGATGTGAATAGACTAATTCTGTGCTCAAGTGACTTCTGAAGTAACATCCGCGGTAAACAGAACACACAAATACGATAAAGAATGTTTGACTTGGTCTTAGGCGTCCTGAGGTACTTACATGTTTCTTAAAGAATGTTGGGTTAAGTAGAACTTCACAATGAATTCTCCGAAATAGTTAAAGAATAAAAACCAAAGTCCTCTTACCGTGTTCACAGCTACATTCTTGGTCTCTAACGTGGCGCGCGAGCCGATGAAGGGTCCTTTCTGACACTTTCCAATTCTTCTCATGAGAACTAGCGCTTTACAGCACCCTAGACACCATTACGCTTAAAGGGCTTTCACCAAACAGTCGCAATCAGTGAACGAGAGTTTTTAAGACTACTACAGGATCTTCAAACGGTTCAGGCCTGGAATAAATATTAGCAGAAGAACTAACGTATCGACTTTCGGGGTAACTGCGCAGGGGAGCTATTCCATCATGTATTGGGTTTCAAGTGACGAGAAATGACCCTGACAGCTAGATAGCCTATCTGATTGGATCTTACAATACAAAAGCTATTATTCCTCTAAATGTTACGCGCGATACCATTGTCATCAAAATGCCGCCCTACGCAAGGAAAAGGCAACATAATAGACAACCAATCATGCTCACTCAAGTGTTATTCAATATTCTTGCTCATTCCCGCGCTGGTTGCCGAAAATAAACCCCCCAATAAAATGAAATGCAAATGAGATAAAACACTACTTCCTGCCACGGTTTCTTTCTCTAAGCTTTGTCGAACTGAGCAACGTTTTTTGATAAAAGTTCAAAAATGTTTTTTGAAGTGTTAGGATCACTTCTTGTACAGTCTGCTAACGATCACTCGATCAAACTCCAGGAGATGTCTGTCTAGCAAACGAGTAAATAGACTAAATACATAAGGTCATCCTAGCTTACTGAATTAAGAGCTTTAAGTGAAGAATGCTTTAGACTTCAATGGCTTAAGGTAGATAATGCAGCATTTGGGGGTTAGCAAGCCAATGATTTGGTACATTGGTACTACTGGCATAGCTATCCTACATCGACGACTAGAATTTCTCTACGTTTGTAAGCATGTTGCCAACGTTTTTGACACTGACGTGAAATAGTTTTTTTTATAAAGTCAACAAACTGAACTAACAGCCCACGATCCAGTAATTATGATGTACTCCGCCCATTCGAAGTTATTGAGAACATAGATTTGCTTATCACTTGTCGGAGTAAGCGATTTCTCATGTTGGACTTGGTCTTGTACTACATCTGTGTTGTGGTTGATATTCGGTGCTTTTGCTTCTTGCCGTGCCCCTGGGTGTTGAATGACGAGGTCACTTTCCAGCCTCTTGTGAAACTGTCAAGACACATGATACCTAGCCTCTCTCCTCTCCATAAAATCGTTTCCTATCAGCTTTGCTTACTGGTTGTAAGAGAGCATAAGCTTTATAAAAGTGCTAAGCAAATTTGCTCAAAACTTACGAACCCTGCCTAGTCGTCACAGATTTACCATATCAAAATAGTAGCTTTTAGCTTTCTGTCCAAGACAAGGAAAATGGAAAATAGATAAGTCGTCAACAGACATCCTGTTCCGTTTCCTTTGTGGTTTTCTTATCCGTTTTTCTTCTGTAAGCCATTGTATTTCTTAAGCTGTTTATTTATTTATTTGTCTTCATTAATCGTTTTAGTTTTTATGTACGTTGCTAATTTGAATTTCACACGCTTTTGTTTGACTTTATTCCCTTTTACGATTTTGTACTGATCGTTGTCTTACCAAATCTCGTTGCAAATCGCTAATTTTCAGGCAATGATGCATGCGAGACCAACAATTAGTGCATATACACAGTATAAAGAGATAAAAAGAAAAAAGGGTTAAAGGTTTTCGAGTAATGTCATTTTTGTGGGGTTTTACTCGAGTGAAAGGCGTTGAAACAACATCGCCTAGAGTTTCTTGACAAGAGGTCCAGTTTCCGTCAGTTAATTCATCAGCATGCTATTCTCGCCCCCACTGGCTCCAGGCTGAGTCGACAACTGCATCGATCAATTCAGTGCTCAAAAAATATTTTGTTACCAAATTTAGCTCGTTTGTAGTCTAAATACTGGATCATATGGTGCGCAAAGATGACAAATTTAGTACGAATTGACTTGACATTGATTTATAGATGTGTTCGTCTAAAGTGCCTGCGAAACTAGGGATACGATGTGAAACTCAAGTTCTCTTAAAGAATTTGGCTTCAAATAGGTCTATTGATTAATGCACCGCATAGTATTGTAGTTTACTATTCCATGGGAAAAAATATGCCCTGACCTGTCGAGCTTAAAATAAGTTTATTTAAGAGCTCCTAGACAAGACATACTCGTTAGAAGAAAAAACAAACATCACTCAATGGTCCGTTTTAAACTGAATGTTTTCAATTGCAGAATGGTCATGGGACGTGAACTGTAAACAAGAAAGTAACCCTATCAAAGATTCAAGTGTGTTTATGACGTCTTTATTTTATGCAACTCAGTTTTTCACGGGAGATTCCTGATGTGTATTCATCAGAATATCGTTTTGGATTTCATATTTTTTCCTTTTGATAGTATCCACTATCGTGATTTGATGTGGGCAGGGTTAGGTCCGGGCGGTGGAAAATTCAGAACGAGGGAGGCAAAATAGTGAAGTCTTGAAATTAGCTATTTAGCTATTGGTCCATCTCAATGTGCTCACGAGGAGTCATGCCTCAGGAAAAACTGAATCTATTACTAATCTATGCATAAAGATATGTTTGCAAGACGCTCAAACCGGTCTTTTTACGAGAGGGTAGTATGGAATACAGTTTGTTTCGAACGGGGGGGG